ACAAACCCCCACTTTCCCCCCCGCACATCCGCGCATGCGTAAAGGGAAATCTTGGTTCTACTCTATTTTCAAATACATTTTTGACTCATATCGGCACATAAAACACCTATTAGGCGCTATAGTTTCGGAAAATTAAAAATTTTCCACAGAACTTTTATTTACTTACTGAGAGAGGGGAACTCTTATTTACTTACTGAGAGAGGGGAACTCTGATGCCTCTTATTTACTGAGAGAGGGGAACTCTTATTTACTTACTGAGAGAGGGGAACTCTTATTTACTTACTGAGAGAGGGGAACTCTTATTTACTGAGAGAGGGGAACTCTTATTTACTCACTGAGAGAGGGGAACTCTTATTTACTCACTGAGAGAGGGGAACTCTTATTTACTTACTGAGAGAGGGGAACTCTTATTTACTTACTGAGAGAGGGGAACTCTGACGCCTCTTATTTACTGAGAGAGGGGAACTCTTATTTACTTACTGAGAGAGGGGAACTCTTATTTACTTACTGAGAGAGGGGATCTCTTATTTACTGAGAGAGGGGAACTCTTATTTACTCACTGAGAGAGGGGAACTCTTATTTACTCACTGAGAGAGGGGAACTCTTATTTACTTACTGAGAGAGGGGAACTCTGACGCCTCTTATTTACTGAGAGAGGGGAACTCTTATTTACTTACTGAGAGAGGGGAACTCTTATTTACTCACTGAGAGAGGGGAACTCTTATTTACTTACTGAGAGAGGGGAACTCTTATTTACTTACTGAGAGAGGGGAACTCTTATTTACTTACTGAGAGAGGGGAACTCTTATTTACTCACTGAGATAGGGGAACTCTTATTTACTTATTAAGAGAGGGGAACTCTTATTTACTCACTGAGAGAGGGGAACTCTTATTTACTCACTGAGAGAGGGGAACTCTTATTTACTCACTGAGAGAGGGGAACTCTTATTTACTCACTGAGAGAGGGGAACTCTTATTTACTTACTGAGAGAGGGGAACTCTTATTTACTTACTGAGAGAGGGGAACTCTTATTTACTCACTGAGAGAGGGGAACTCTTATTTACTCACTGAGAGAGGGGAACTCAGCCTCTTAACCCAACAAGAAGACGGTAAACAATCTTCTGGCCCTATAAACCCCCAACAATGGGAAGATATTTATCCAAGATCAATTTTTCCATGTATTTCTCCACTAATTGAGGTGGAAGTGAGCAGTGTGAGGCAAGGTGGGTAGTGGGCGAGGCTGAAGTGGGCGGCAGGATGGTGGGCGTGGGCGTCGGGGTGGATATAAGGCAGAAATTGGGTAATATAAGGCAGAGGTCGCCGGGTAGGTTAAGATCAATACCTAACCTGCCTGGTGCTCCTACCTCAGATTTTCTTCCTTCTGGGTTAGGGTAGGCCTAGGCTTGGCCTAGGGTTGGTCTAGGGTAGGCCTAGGGTAGGCCTAGGCTTGGCCTAGGATAGGTCTAGGCTTGGCCTAGGGTAGGTCTAGGCTTGGCCTAGGGTAGGTCTAGGCTTGGCCTACTGTAGGTCTAGGCTTGGCCTAGGATAGGTCTAGGCTTGGCCTAGGGTAGGTCTAGGCTTGGCCTAGGGTAGGTCTAGGCTTGGCCTAGGGTAGGCCTAGGGTGGGTGCATGGTAGGTCTATGGGGATGGGCGAGTGTGGGGAAGGAAGATTGGGCAGGAGAGAGGGTAGGTAAGGCAGCACCCCATGCAGGGTCTACCCTCCCTTCATCCTGCTGCTGCTCTTGATCACAGGAACCAGAGTTGCTACTCCTCTTCCTTGGATCAAACAGTATACTTCTCCACTCCTTACCTTAAGGCAGCATCCCATATTAAGAGAGAAATAAGGCTTATTTAATGGGTTGGTTCCTTTGTTTGAAGTTAAGGGGTGATTATTGTGTTTGTGGGAAGTGCTAAACCCCCAGGGGCAGCACAAGTAATCTAGTTGTGTGTAAAGAAAGAAAATATTGGTCCAGTCCTCACCAACCCCCCACCCCCCCCCCCCCCCCCCTCACTAGCATCAACCCCCCCTACCCCCTCCCAGCCTTGAAGAAATTAAATTTCAGCCAAACTAATACTAATAAGAATGTAAAAAAAAACTGCTGGAGTCCTGGCCCATGCTAGGCAGGTTCAACTCACACCCATTTGTGTATTTGTCTCACCTAGCTTAATAGTACACAAACATTTTAGCTTCAGTGATGTTGCTTGGGAGTTTTGTTCCACTCATGCTTAAAGATTACTTAAGAAACTAAATATAAGTATGTAAAGTAAAAAGGACACAAATACAACTAATGTGACTTTTATTTGGCAACGTTTCGCTCTCCAGCAAAACGTTGCCACAATAAAATGTCACATTAGTTACATTTGTGTCCTTTTACTTTACATATTATTGGTAATTCTACCAAGATTAATGGATATAAGTAAGTTTATTTAAGGTACAATTATCATATATAATAAGTGTAACTTACCCTCTGGGTGTCCCGTGGCCTGGTAGACAAAGCTCTTACCTCACATACTGAGTGTCCGGGGTTCAGTCCCTGGCCGGGTAGAAACATTGGATGTGTTTTCTCACACCTGCTGTCCTCCTTCACCTAGTAGTAAGTAGGTACCCACTAATGTGGGTGGCATCCTGGGGAACAAGAGTAAAAGACCACAATGGAAATAATAAACACAGTCCTGGATGACGCACTGACTTTCTTGGGTTTTCCTGGGTGGCTGACCCCTCACTCGGGCTTAAAGATCCAAACAAATTTTTATCTTATATGACCCAAAAAAAGGTCAAAGTGACTTATATCCATTGGGGTCCTTGAATTATTTAGTAGGAGTCCTAAAATATACAAAAATGAAAGGTAGTTAAATGAACAACAGTACAATACTAACATTCTGCATTAATAATTCAAACTGATTTAGTGATTTTCAGTTAGTTTGGATTTTTTAGCAGTTAACTATTAAATACACAAGAAAAATTGCCAATGTACAATAGGAACAATTTTAAAAGTATGATTTATTGTTTCAAACTGATCCGGTGATCATCAGTTTTGTGGAGTGATTGAAAGAGATGGTGAAAATACAGGAAGTTACTGTAGAAATATTAGGGGGATAAGATGAGCAATTAATTTTCCATGGGGCTTGAAGGAAGACTGGAAGAAGAACTGTGACTGAGTTGGATAAACTGGTTTTGTTTGACATGTCATATTGCTGTTACAATTAAATTAGGGAGATAAGGTGCTTTTTAACAATAGTTCAGAATTGATTGGCAAATACTGGATCTTTTGATATTTCAGGGCTTTTCGTGTACATTGAGCTTTTGAATAGGTTGAGACAGACACAGTGGCTGTCAAAGTGAGTTTTGTCTAGTATTATGACTTTGTGTTCTCTTGCAGCTGTCAAGGAATAGTTTCAGACGAGGGTTTATGTTGGAGTGTAATGTTTTATAGTAGGCACAGTTGTATGAGTGCTTATTTTGTATAGTAAGTTAAAGCTTTTGAAGAGTAGGGGAGTGTGTTGTCTGACACTGGAATGAGCGATAGTCCACACAGCGGCTTTTGGTTGGGCATGTTTCCTTACACCTGCTGTCCCTGGCCACGTAGCAGCAAGTAGGTACATGGGTTTTAGCCAACTGTTGTGGGTTGTATACTGGGGAATAAGATTAAAATACCTCGATGGAATAAGAACTGGTGTTTAACCATCCAGGTTAAAAATCCTAACAAAATTTTATCTATTTACAATATGTTTACACTGTTGCAACACCTTAACCACCAGGTCATCACTTTTCTACCTGTGACATTCCTTCTCTATTTTTTTAACTGTAGAAATACCTTACACTGTACAGAATTCTAATTCTTTCTGCTTTACTTTCCTTTTTCAAATAAAACCATTTTCCTAATACAGTGGTACCTTGACTTGCAAGTTTAATTTGTTCCGTGACCCAGCTCGTAACTCAGTTTGCTTGTACGTATGTCAAATCAGTTTTCCTCATTGAACTTAACTGAAATACCATTAATCCATTCCAGCCCCCCAAAAAACCACCCCATTTTTTTTATTACGGGGTTTTAAATAAGAAAAATGTATTTATAATTAAGAAATGATTTTTGCCCTTTCTGCCAGGTTCCAGCAATATTTTAGAAATGCTGGAGTATATATGAAACTCCTTGAAGCATGGTGTAAGATGAGTGACACTCCATTGCTAGTGGAGTGTCACTCGTGGAGTGACATTTGATGATCGTGCACTGTCTTGGATTTATTTTTCATTCCTACAAACATGTCTATCTGTTTCTGTCTGTCTATTTGTCTGTCTGTCTAGTTCTGTCTGTTTATCTCTCTCTCTGCTTATCTGTCTTTCTGTCTGCCTGTGTTTCTGTCTTCCTATCTCTACTTTCTCTCTCTCTCTCTCTGAGAGAGAGCTGCTCATGAACCAGCAGGTATTACACACGATGCAGAGTTGGTCACGTCTGATTCCTAAACAAGTGAAAATGTGTATTACTTGCCAGTCATGCTTATTATGCTTTATCTACAAGTATAGTATAGCACTTTGGATTTTTTGGGTTATCCTAGGTAATTTGTACTATGTATAACTGTATTTATGTGTACCTGTGAGATACAGAGATAGAGAAAGATAGAGATAGAGCTAGAGAGATATAGAGACATAGAGATGTACAGATATAGAGAGATAGAGTTAAAGAGAGATATAGAGATAGACATAGACATAGATATAGATAGCAATAGAGAGACAGGGATAGATAGAGATAGATAGTTACAGAGACAGAGATCCAGAGATAGAGACAGAGATAGAGACAGAGATAGAGATAGAGACAGAGATAGATACAGACAGACAGAAGGAGATAGACACAGCCAAAGCAAATCAGCTGGCCAGCCAGCCACACAACCAGCCGGCCTCCCGAACATGTATTACACATGTTCCAGAATTGCTTCTGTTTACTTAGGGCATATGTTATAGAACATTCTGGCAGGATGACACTACCAGTGGTATCAAAATTGAAAGGATGTTACACATTGGTTATTATCGAGGGTTTTGATATTTCCTCTCTCCGAGTGGCGGCATATCTGAAGCTCGCTTGTTACTCAATTTTGGCTCTCAACTCAAACCAAAAAATCGACCGAGCGACGGCTCGTAACTCGGAAAACTAGTAAGTTGGGAAACTCGTAAGTCAAGGTACAACTGTATCAGTATCTAGAATTGGTTGTCCTAGTTTAATAAGCAATTTCACACACTAATTATTGTGATATCCCCTTTTGATAGCCTGGCTTACCCCACTTGACATTACAGGTGTGCCTCGACTGATGACAGAGTAATGTTCTGATGAACCCATCGTAAGTCAAAAATATCGTAAGTTGAATATGAATATGACATACTAAATAAATAAATAAATAAATAACTACTGTCATTGAATAAACAAATACAGTGGACCCCCGGTTAACGATATTTTTTCATTCCAGAAGTATGTTCAGGTGCCAGTACTGACTGAATTTGTTCCCATAAGGAATATTGTGAAGTAGATTAGTCCATTTCAGACCCCCAAACATACACGTACAAATGCACTTACATAACTACACTTACATAATTGGTTGCATTGGGAGGTGATCGTTAAGCGGGGGTCCACTGTATTTACTGTAACAATTACTAGTATTGAAAACAAAATAAATTAACGTTCAGGATTTTATTCTTTGCATAGTTGACAATGTGTAATTACAATTTTGATTTGCTAAGTACGAAGAAAGCCACTATCATGCTGGGGCATTTCAGGCTGACTAAACCTAATGCTTAACAGATTATTTAATATTAAGCATATACATCATAGTTGGTTCAAATTGCACATCTTTTTTATATTTCAGCAGATGTAGTTGGTGGTTTAGCAGTAATTGAATTAACAAGTAATTGATTAACAAGTTAAAGCACAGCCTCTCCTCACTTACTGATGTACTCGTTTACCAACAACTCAGACTTACGACGGGCTCTCTGACCAGTATGCATACCTAAATAATGTATAATGGAGCTGATTTCCTCTGTTTTGTTTATTACAGTATACAGTACACTATAAACTTTTAAAAATATATCAGAAATGTTATAAATGGTGCAGAGGTGACATTAAAACAATATCGAAGATGGTTGACACAAACCTACTACCATTATAGTATGCTCCTTACTTAGCGACAAATTCATTTACTGACGAGGTCTCAGGAACGAAACTCCATTGTTAAGTGAGGAGAGGCTATATTATATTTTGGCTCATTTTACATAATGAGATTGAGACCATTTTAGTTTTGAAATAATCTTATAATATATTTGAAACTTTCAGTTGTTGGTGGCAATAATACATAGTATTTGTGTGGTTAGTTTTTGGAGATTAGGTGATTTCTAAGCAGAGCCTTGAATTGGTGCACAGGCAGAGGCTCTTTTGTATGTTTCATGTAATGAATTCCAGATCATAGGGCCCTTTATATGCATAACATTTTTGCATAGGGAGAGAGATGGACACGAGAGATATCAATGAGTGTTTTGTGTCTCGTGTTATGCAAGTGCATTATGTTGTAGTTCTCAAGGAGTTTGAGAGGAGCATTAATATTGGAGAATAATGTTCTGTGTATGTAGTAGGCACAATAATATGAGTGAGTATTTTGTATGTTAAGCAGGTTTAAGCTCTTAAATAGCGGTGGGGTGTGTTGCCTGGTGGAGGAGTTTGTAATCAATCTCACGGCAGCTTTTTATTGGATTATTAAAGGTTTAAGGTGATTTGCCCATACATAAATTCCATAAGTGAGGTAAGGGTAGATGAATGGTAAAGAGCAAAAAGTGCTGTTTGGGGTACATAGTACTGTATCTTAGAGAGGATGCCTACTGTTTTGAATGTTTTGACTTGCCACCTTCATGCTGGGTAATTATCTTAAGTTTCGTCTCCGAAGTAATTACTTTTGCACCATCATAAAGTCGTAATATTGTAAGTCGAATCATTGTAAGTTGAGGAACACTTGTACATGCTGATACAATTTTTTTCACAGGAAGAGCAGACTGACTTGGATGGTCTTGTAATTTCATCACTGTCTTAAAGATTGTCTTTGATTATTGTCTTTAGCTCAAGAGTTACCACATTTCCTCAGGAGCCTTGACTTCTTGTTCGATCAGCAACATGTTTCTGGTTGAAGCAGTATGACTCCCCCAAGAAACTATGATGTTACTACCAGACCTCTTGTTAGTGGTGAAAGTATTTTACTTACTTGGCCTTCAATAGCTGTGGGGGTACCAGGAGTAGGATAGGTTCAAATCAAAATCAAAATCAAAAATTGTGTCTTTGCAAAGGTTACAGTGCTTATACTTAAAGACTGCTTAAGTCAAACAAACTTCAAATTTTCAATATTATACCTAATTATTAATGAGGTAGTACAATTTATGATACAGACATACATGTTTAGATTTGTAATAATGGTTTAATAAATAAGGGATAATAAAATATTTGGGAGAGTTGCTTCAAATTTGGTTAGAGATTAGCATAATATGGGTATGGTTAACCCTTAAACTGTCCAAACGTAGATCTACATTCATGTGCAGGGGGCTCTGAACGTAGATCTACGTTTTTTTTGCGTGCTTTCAAATGATGAAAATAAAGGTGGGAGCGCTACACACGTGAACGTAGATCTACGTTTGGACAGTTTAAGAGTTAATATTGAGAGATGAGATGATATTTAAATATAGTCCTAAATTGATTTGTGGGCAGGGGACCTTTTACTGCTTTGGGCAAAGAGTTCCAGATCTTCAGGCCCTTTATGTGCATTGAATTTTTGCATTGAACAGTTGCTTTGTTGCTTTCATGACTAACATCTTGTGGTGGATACTGCTCATTGTCTTTTGACTAACCTTATGCAACACCTAGCATTGGTAACTGGCAAGCTTTACCTTGTTTTACTGTGCAGTCTTGTAATAAAGTTGGTAGAATTACCGACAATATGTAAAGTAAAAGGAGAGCGAAACGTTGCCACAATAAAATGTCACATTAGTTACACTTGTGTCCTTTTACTTTACTTACTGTGCAGTCTTGTTGTCATGGTTGACAGAAAGCATCCCCATTGCTGCAAAGCCAACCATAATATTATTGAACATTAAAATAGTATAAAAAACCGACAGGTTGTTAGGTAAGACACATATGCAACAGTTAGGTATCTTTATTTCAAAATGTTTCGCTTACACAGTAGGCTTCTTCAGTCAAGTACAGAAAAGTTGATAGAAGCAGAAGATACTTTGCCAAGAATGTTACACAGATATCCTTTGCTAAGTGAATTCCTTGCTTTTGTAACAGCTTTTCATTCTGCCTGTATTTTCTCAGTGGATCCTCAATTTAATGGACTAATAGTAAGAGTGAATGTTGTCACTTCATTCTGAATTTTGAAATTTATTTTTCATGATTGTAAAATAAACAATGTCCAGATCCAGAGGACTATGTCTGCTGATCTGGACATTCATCTGGAGACTTCCTGACACCTCCCACTAAGGCTGGAAGCAGTAGACTTAGTCTGTTGGTTCTGGAGACTACGGGACACCGTGGCCTGGTGGCTAAAGCTCTCGCTTCACATGGCGATGGTCTGGGTTTGATTCCCAGTGAGAGTAGAAACATTGGGCTAGTCTCTTTACACAGGTTGTCTATGTTCACCCATCAGTAAAAATGGGTACCTGGAAGTTAGTCAGCTTGGTGTGGGTTGCATCCTGGGACAAAACTGACCTAATTTGCCCAAAATGCTTGGCGTAACAACAAGCTCTCTATATAGTAGTATGTCATTGATGTCAGCTAGGCCTGTATACCATGTACACATGTACTTGTAGTAAATTAAGATATTATTATTATTGTAACCTGTAAAACAGTACATTACTGTATTATAAATATAAACGAAGTTGAAAGTACAATAGTACTATGCATGTACAGGAGAGTACATGTACAGTGGTCACTCATTTTTCGTAGTTAATCCATTCCTGGAGTTGCTACTATTATCGAAATCTATGATTTGCGAATCAATTTTCCCCATAAGAAGTATTAAAACAAAAAAATTTTTTACATGAAATGTAGATGTAGTACATAAACAATACAATGGGAAATGATGAATGAAACATATTAACAGCATAACACTTACCTTTATTGGAGATTCTTCTTAGTGTATGGGAGACTGGAGGAGGAGAGAGATTGGATTGTTTACAGTTTGGAAGGGGAATCCCCTTCCAGCAACACCTCAGGTATCAATTGCTTTTCTGGGGTTGCTTCTCTTGTCTGTTTCTTAATGCCACTAGGACCACCTGAGAGTCACTGGAGTCCTGTCTCGCAAAGTAACTGTGGAGAGAGCTGTTTCTGGCGTCTCTTTAACACTTCCCTAAAATGGCCCAAGACTTTGTCACTGTACATGTTGCCAACATGGCTTGCAACAAGCTTGTCAGGGTGATGTTTCTCCATAAAGCTTTCCATCTTACCCCACATAGCAAAAATCTCTCTAATTTCTGAAGAAGGCACCTTCTTCCATCTCTCTTCCTCCTCCTCTGCAGCAAGATTCTGAGCTGCGATCTGTTGCTGTTCCTGCTGAAGCTCTTGCAGCTCCTCAGTGGTGAGCTCTTCGTTGTGGTCTTCCACCAACTCTTCCACATCCTCCAAACTCACATCCAGTCCATGGAACTCCCCAGTGCCACAATTGATTTAAAAAACAGATATAGGCTCATCAGGGTCAGTTCCAAACCCTTCAAAATCCCTCTTGTCGACACAATCTGGCCACAATTTTCTCCAAGCAGAGTTCAAAGTCCTGGTAGTCACTCCCTCCCAAGCCATACCTATAAGGGTTATGCAATGGAGGATGCTGAAGTGTTCTCTCCAAAATTCCCTTAGGGTCAAGTGAGTGTCTGTGGTCACAGTCAAGCACCTGTGAAACATTGCTTTGGTGTATTTCTCACCTTCTTTACCACAGGCTTGGCACTAGGAGCTTTCTTTGGAGCCATGGTAGCTTATTTAGTACTTGCAAGCACTAAAATGAGTGGAATATTATGAAATATTTCGTAGGAGCACGTGAGGGGACCTTTGCTCACTGGTAAACAATGCCAGATTGGCTGGGTAGGAAGGCCGCCCCGGCTCACACCATGCGTACGCGTCCCGGACGAACTACTATTCGCGAGCCAACCTATGATTAGCGAGCCCATGTTTATACGAAAATATCCCTATGATTTCCGAAATCTATGATTCCCGAGAACTACGAAAAGCGAGGGACCACTGTACATTAATTTTACTGTAATTTACAGTAATTTTACTTAATTTTTTGTGGTGCTATGATAAGTAGTGGTGACTCAGAATATATTTTATTCTCAAT